ATAAGCTAACAGTTTTTGCTTTAGAACATGTTAACATTTTGTTAGCTACTGCAAATTGCTTTCCAAAGAAAATGTATGAATATACATTCCCACTAATAGGGTGTGAAAGTAGATTTGCTAATGATGGGTAATTTTCATTTTTGTTAATGTTTCAGGTGGAAGAGAAGCACAATTCTTAGTCACGGTTCCCATTTTTTGCCACATATGGATCACATTACTTTGATGTGATCTAACCAATATCAAGTATAATGGATAGTTGCCTGTTTCCCTTCCTGACATTGATAATGATATGAACATCAAATGTACACATCCACTAGGAGGCAAAGGGACAGGAAGGAATAAATATCCCCCCCCCCAAAAAAAAAAAAAACATGAAAAAATAAGTAGCCAAACAAAAAGAAGGCACAACTTAGGGCACTGTTCCTCTATATATTGCCCTCCAAGAGATTTTGATGAGACAGCAAAAGCCGAAGGGTTTTTATTAACTTCTTCAAATCTATGGGGAGAGACAGTTAACTGGGATCTTTAACTCGTTCCTTGTGTCTGAGAAATAGTGGAAGTAGCTCATGGGGAGAAATAAGGAGTGAGTATGGGCCCTTCAGTGACAGAATTGAATGCAGTGAAACTGCAAATTTTCGAGAGTATTCACCTTTGCAATTGAGTGAGCTCTTAGAAAACCTCATAAGTGAGCACGGTTTGTAGGCATTCAGATCCCATACTCCTCCCTTCCACGATTCGGGGGAGAAGAAACCAGTCTCAGATGTAGTATTGCAAGAATCAGTAATAAGACTCACTATATTGGAGTCAATAGAAGATTTAGACAGCAACAAATTAATGGCAAATAATTTGTAGTAAGAAAGGACTATAGCTTGGGAAGCCATATACAAGAACTAAAAAAAAAAAAAAATCAAGCCTTTCCTAAAGGAGGAATTCCCCTGCATCTGAAATCATATATGCAATAATTCATTAGAATGTCAATAAAGTACAAGAAGTTAAAAGACTGTAACATAAGAAAATGAAAGGAATTGAGGGTAGTAGCAGTACTAATACTACAAAAGAAACTGACTAGAGGTTTCTGAACCTTATTCTGACAATGGCAGAACTGGGAGAGGTGGATGAAACTGAGTTAACAGTGCCTGGTCGCTGTTGAACCTCAGAAGGCGCAAATAACTGCACAGGTTCATCACCTCGTGGAGCTCTATGCAAGGATAAATTTGCGGCGAAGTCAGGATCTACTAGAGATTCTAGCTGTGTGACTGCTTCATTGACACTATTCTTGCCATCACCAGTTGATTTGCCCAGATTATACAGAAAGGAGGGCAATAGACTATCCCCTGAGAGAATGATAGAACAGCAAAGGACTTGTTAAAAGAAGATGGATGTGCCAGTGGGCTAGAGTTGAATAGACTGTTAGCAGTTTTTTTGGTGCTAAAAGTAACTGATCAAATGTTCAAAAAGTGAAACTGTTTATTTATTTGGAATTCAGAAATTCCAGGTTGTATCACACCAGTTATTCAATTATTCCTTTTGCACCATCCAAAAAATAAAAGAAACAAAAGTAGGTATGATGGCAAAAAAAAAAAAAAAAAGAGGGGGGAGAGGGTAGTTAAAAGTAGGGGGTACAAAAAAAAGAAGATGGACAGTTGGGGATGTAACTCAGTAGCAGAAAGAAGCTCTAGTAGATTCAACCCTCAGCACTAATAAATTGTATAAATAGTTTTCAAAAAGGATGGAGAGGAAAATATAGTGGTATATTAGAAACCAGAGATTAAAATTTACTGAGCTGTTTTTAACTGAAGCAGCTAAGAACAACAGTGGCTTCAAATAGAAATCAAGGGAAAGGGGCTAGGGATGTGGCTCAAGTAGTAGCGCTGTCTCTTGGCATGCGTGAGGCACTGGGTTCAATCCTTAGCACCACATAAAAATAAGGATATTATGTCCATCTAAAGCTAAGAAATAAATATTAAAAAAAAGAAATCAAAGGAAAGAAATATTTAATAAAGAGCAAAAACCAGAGTAGTGAGAAATAATATAATTAATTGAATGCTGCTTATTTATAAAGATGGAATAAATATCTGGGAAGTTTGATCAAGTAAAATAGTGGTGGCACAAATGAAGACTGTTAAAGAGATTTTTTTTTAATCGCAGTGTTAAGTGTAGCTATCTGATAAAATTTTAAATGGACAGTTTGCTTAAGAAATACTAAAATTGGGGGCTGGGGCTGTAGCTCAGTGGTAGAGCACCTGCCTCGCACGTGTGAGGCACTGGGTTCGACCCTCAGCATCACATAAAAGTAAATAAATAAAGATATATTTAAAAAAATACTAAAATTGACTAAAGAAGACACAGAATATCTATTTACATGTAACTAATCATTAAAGAAATTAAATTGGAAACCTATTTTTTCCAGAGGAAGAAAGAAGGAAAGTTTTGTACTTTACTTTATGAAGTTAATGATACCTTGATAAATCAAAACACTAGACAAGTTTGGCAAAGTGTAGAACTTTTTGTCCTGGGGATTAACTCAGGGCCTTGCTTATACTAAGCATATATTCTACCAGTGAACTATACCCCCAGCTCGAGTATAGATTTTTGCTCTTAAGAACATAGATGGAATAGAATCGGCTGTGTATTTTTAAAAATAATTTATGATCAAAGAGTATCCTAGGAATGCAGGAATAACATTAGAAAATCGAAGACTGATTTGACAGTACCAAAATAGATGTCATCAGGTGAATATTACTTTGTAACTAAAATTGTGGTAATTCTAGGAAGAGCTTCCTTAACTTAATATGGGCAGTGCCAACCAGTTAAATAGATTTTAGTTTACAAGAGCATTGTGAAAAAAATCTGATTTTAAGAAATATAGGCTGGGAATGTGGCTCCTTGTTAGTGTTTGTCTAGCATACACAAGCCTTGGGTTTGATACCCTCACCACCACACACATATAGGAGAGAAGATGTGTGTGTGTTTTAAGACAGGAAAAAGAACACAAAATTTATTACATGCCTAAGGCAAGGAAGTATTAGACCAAGAAGTACTTTTTAAAATACCAGAAGAATTACATCACAACAAAGAAAGGGGCTATGTTTTGAGAATCGAATCATTAGGTGATTTCACCATGGAAATATCTAGAGTATACTTAAAATCAAGATTAACTTGAGAAAATTGGTACAATCAAGAATGCGGTAAACAGAAGATGTATGAGATTGTTGCTGATAGAGTACTGTTTCACAGTAAAATTTTAGAGAAGTATACTCTTAAAATAACAAAAACATTGAATATATAAACCAGTAACAGTCATTTATTATATTACATAATGTGACTGGCAGCATGGTAGGTTTATTTATACCACCATCACCACAAATACATGAGTGATCCATTGTGCTGTGATGTTTTGACAGCTACCTTGTCCCTCAGTTGACCTATCATAGGAGTTTTTCACCTCTGTTATAATCTCTCAGAACCACTTAAATACACAGTCTGTCACTAACCAAAAGGTCTTCAGGCAGTGCATGGTTATTTTCCATCAGTAACAACAAGTACACATTATTACAACTATTAAAAATGATAATAAACAATAAAGGAAATCTATAACAAAGGATGAAAGTATTCATCAATGAAAAATATAGTATTTAATACATAAATTCTGTACTTCAGCGCCTCCTAATGGTATACTCTAATTTAACTCTGAATATAAAATTGTAGATTAAAGAAGTCCAAGGTTAGGGGATGAAGGTGTACACGCTGAAGTGGTAGAGTGCTTTCCTAGTCCATGGTCAGACCATGGGTTCAATCCCCACCATCAAAAGAAGCTGAAGTGAAGGTTGTTTTATGAATCAATGTGAGAATTTGTGGAATACCAGACATGGTAGTGCATGTCTGTAATCCCTTGAAAGGTTGAGGCAGAATTGCAAGTTCAAGGCCAGCCTGGGCAATTTTGTGAGACCCTGTCTCAAAACCAAGAAAGAAAAAAAAAGATTAGGGATAAGTATATAGCTTACTGGTAAGCTCTTGACTAACGTGTGAATTCAATCCCCTGTAACAGCCCCCCCCCCCAAAAAAAATTATACAAGAACTTGAGTGATTATGAATTTTTTCATGGACCTTTTAAACTTGTAAATAAGATTATTCTTTTTAAAACACAGCTTTATTGAAAGAAAATTTCTATACTATATAATTAATTCATTTAGAATATACAATTCAGTAGCTTTTAATACACTTGTATATTATGTGAGTGCCTGTCACAATAGTAGAATGTTTTCATTACCCCCAAAAGAAACTTTATATTCCTTAGCTGTTACTCCCTAGTTCCTCTAGTTCTCTACCTCCCATTTACTTTCTATCTCTACAGATTTACCTATTTTGGTTATTGCATGTAAATGTACCTATATGAACTATACCCCCAGCTTTGTGACTGACTTGTATCACTTAACACAATGTTTTCAAAATTACAGCATATATTAGTAGTTTCTTTCTCTCTTCTCTCTTCTCCCCCTGAACTTTTTCCCCAAGGTACTAGGGGTTTGAACCCAGGAGCATTTTATCATTGAGTTACATCCCCAGCCTCAGACCATCAGTTTGTGGATGGTTTCCACTTTGGGACTATTAGGAATAATGCTGCCATGAATGTATGTAAACAAGTTTTCATTCCTTTTAAGTAAATACCTAGGTGGAATTGTTGGAATAGATGATTATTTTGTTTTAGCTTTCTGAGAAAATGCCAAACTGTTTTTCACAGCAGCTACACCATTTTACATTTGTACAAATGGCATACGAAGGTTCCAGTTTCTCAATTATCTTTGGAAACATTGTTATTCATTTGTTATAGAAACACTAGTAAAGTGATATTTAATTTTGTAGTTTTCATTTTATGCCTTATAAGGCACATTTAAAATGTTTTTTCCCCCAAATTTTCTCTTACTAGATAAGAAATTATACCTTTAAATTGTGATGAGTTTTTTTTTTTTTTTTAACTGTTGATTTTATTTTTCTAACAGGCTAAGGAAATTTTAACGAAAGAGTCAAATGTGCAAGAAGTTCGGTGTCCTGTTACTGTCTGTGGAGATGTACATGGCCAATTCCATGACCTTATGGAACTCTTTAGAATTGGTGGAAAATCACCAGATACAAACTATCTATTCATGGGTGACTATGTAGACAGAGGTTATTATTCTGTGGAGACTGTGACTCTTCTTGTAGCATTAAAGGTATGATTGATGAAATTCACTTTTCTTTTTTTCCTCCAAATCACCTTGCATATGCCACCAATTTAAATCTCTCTTATTAACGTTTATATCTTATTTCCTATTCCCATTGATTCCATGTTGCTTATACAATTAATCTCCTTGGCTGTCCTTTTATAGTCTAGTCTAAATTTGCCTGCCTTTAGTTGATAACATAAACTCTTTGCCTCAAATAAAATAATTTTGTATTCAGTGCTCCAGATTACCTCCATTTATTTCCTTATTAAGTGTCCCCAGAAGATTGTTCTGACCCTGATTTCTCATCCCTTCTGCCCAAACTCAGCTCATATTGTTTCTTTCATGAAGGCTTTAACCATTTTTGCCTTATTCCTTCTACTCTAAATTATTATGATGAAACTTACTCACACCCCCTATCATGTCATATAATGGCTTATTACCTTGTATTATTTATGCCATCTATTTCCTTAATTAGATTAGTCCAGCAGAGGGCATGTGTTATACTTGTGTGAACCTGGCACCTAACTTTATAGCACCAAATAATGTTGGACACATAATGGATTCTTAGTGCATATGTATGAATTGAAGTATGCATTTGCAGCTTTTTTGTTAATTTACAGAATCTGATGCTTTTTCATACTTCTCATCAGATGTATTTCTAACTAAATACAGGTTGTATATCACTTAGCTAAAATGCTTGGGACCAGAGGTATTTAAGATTTGGGACTTTATCCCCCAGAATATTTACATACGCATATGAGATTTCTTGGGGATGGGACTCAAGTCTAATCACAAAATTAATTTGTTTCATATATTCCTTACACACATAGCCTGAAGGTGATTTTATATAATATTTTTAGTAATTTTTTTGCATGAAATTTCATAGCATGGAATTTTCCCACTTGTGGCATCATATCAGCACTCAAAGTTTCAGATTTTGGAGCATTTTAGATTTTTGGATTAATGGTGTTCAGCCTGTGGTGTGCTGTAGGGTATGTTTTTCTGTTTTTTCATAGAAAGGAAACTGTTAATACATTTGAAATCTTGCCCACATTTGGGAAGGGCCTATTGTTTTTATTGGCAAATCCAATATTCCTGTGGCATTGAAAAGAAAAGAAGTCCATAAAGTCTGTCTTAGGTTCAAATCTCAGATCTTCAGTATTCATTCAACAGTAAGAAGTCATAGTGTTCTACAAAGATGTAAAAATACTTGTTGATAGTTTAATAATCTTCAGTAATGGAAAAAATCAGATACATGCTTATTATAGTAGTATGGGTATCATTTTAAGGTTATTTTTTTAAAAATATTTATTTTTTAGTTGTAGTTGGATGCAGTGCCTTTATTTTATTTATCTTTATGCGGTGCGGAGAATCAAATCCAGGGCCTCGCACATGCTAGGTGAATGCTCCACCACTGAGCCACAACCCCAACCCCCTCATTTTAAGGTTATTAATGAACAAGGACAACTACAAAAAATATTTCAAAGGTTAATCAAAATGACCTTGTTGGGGAGCTGTGGCTGTGGCTCAGTGGTAGAGTGCCTGCCTAGCATGTGTGAGGCACTGGGTTTGATTCTCAGCACCACATATAAATAAATGAATAAAATAAAGGCCCATCAACATCTAAAAAAATTTTCCAAAAAAAATGACCTTGTTAGGAATGAGAAAGTTTCTTATTCTAAAAAAAAGTTAATGTTTACAAGTGAACAAAAAGCAATTTGAAGAAATGGGTCAGAGGTTAATGATCTTGACATTATACTAGTGAAAATGTGATTATAATGTGGGGTTTTTTTTTCCTTTTTTTTTTTCCTAGGTGCGTTATCCAGAACGCATTACAATATTGAGAGGAAATCATGAAAGCCGACAAATTACCCAAGTGTATGGCTTTTATGATGAATGTCTACGAAAGTATGGAAATGCCAATGTTTGGAAATATTTTACAGATCTATTTGATTATCTTCCACTTACAGCTTTAGTAGATGGACAGGTGTGTAAGTTTTATATCTTGGGGGGAAGCTAAACATAAGAATATATTTAATAATTTAAGGTATAGATTTACATACTATTTCTGCTTGTCCTTGGCCTTTTCAGCCTTTTTTTGTCTTATGCTTAAAATGTCAGAACAGGGAATTGGTAAGTTTTATGTACATAAGTTTTTGGTTTCCAAAAACCAAAAACATTGTATTGCTCAATTTTGTTTTGGAAATTCTAGCCAGTGCACTGAACAGTAGAAATTTGTGTAAATGCTAATGTGCTTTTTAATTGTAGATAAATACTATAAATAAATGCTTTAGACTACTAAAACAGGATGCCAACTATCTCCACACATATACACAGTGTCTGCTGGTTACCATTAAAAATCTTTCATTACTGTTTTCACAGTAATTGCAAATTTTAATATATTGTATTTATATTACCTTCTTCACTAAGAAGCTAGTGCCTTCTTTCTACTAATCATAAGTATTGTAGCTATACCACAAAATATTCAAAAGTATAAGAAAAAACTATGCAAGTTTTCTATTCCAGTTTTCTAGAAATTTCGCTGCAAGTATGAACTGATCTAAATTTAAAAATACAATAAAATTCTGGCAGTTCTTAGATTATAAAAGCCCAGAGTTGTCAAGGGTGTACAGATACTCTTTTGGCCTGCTGATGAGAATATAATTCAGTTATCACCTTCTATGTATAATCCTAACAACCCGTATTTTCTCAGCCATAATTTGGGGCACTGCAGTATTTAAAATGATAACACTTTACCTAAACTTGCTAAAATGAAAGAATGAATTTATAAAATATTGAATAAGGTTTTTAATTTTTTAAATCAATAGTCTTAATGGACAAAATTATTTCAGGAAGAGAGCCTATCCGTATTGGTAGCGTATCTCATTTTTCAGATAAGTACATTGGTGGAGCTTTTATATTAAATGCCCATCACCTACCAGCATCATCCAGACTCTTACTTGTAATGGGCCGATGATTTTCACTGTTACAGTACTTTAAAGAAACAGAACAGTATACACGTACCATTGATGACATTATTGTTTTAAAAATGTTACTGGAAGAATGTATATACCTCAGAAATAAAACAAGTAGGTGTATTGAGTTTTTTAACAACATGACAAGCTTACCTAGCAAGAGATAGTATAGTGTTTGGTATATTGTACCAAGATAACCAGGTCTAAGTACTTTTATAGATCAGTTCCACCAAACTTTTAGGGAACATATGATTTCTATGTTTCAGAGCTTGGTTGGTGGGGAGGGGATGAAGAGCCTTAAAACTTGTGCTATATGCATAGTATAACCCCAGTAAACAACCAGATATGGCAAACACAGAAAAATAAAAATCAGATCAAAATTATTTGGGGAGGGGGGGAATGAAATGTCTGCAATTTAAAACTCAGTTTTAAAGAAAAATTATAGCATTAATTCTGGGATGTACTTATTATACTTAGTGAAATATTAGAGACTTTCCCATCAAAATCAGAAAAATACTTACTAAAACCTATTGGGCATGGTTGTACACACATGTAATCCCAGCAACTCAGGAAACTGAGGCAGGAGGATAACAAGTTGAAGCCAGTCTGGCAGTATAGTGAGACCCTGTCTCAAAAAGAACTGGGAGTATAACTCAATGGTAGAACACCCCTAGGTGTTCAACCCCAGTATTATAAAAACAAACAAAAAAATGCATTATTCTCCCTGATTCAGAATCCCTAGCAGATTGGTCCTGAAAATAGATTGTTCACAAAAACATTGTATTGCTCAGTTTTGTTTTAGAAATCTAGCCAGTGCACTAAGCAGTAGAAAGAATTAAAAGGCAGACCATTAAGAATTAAAAAATATATATTTTTACAAATAATGTGATTCTGTATTCAGAACATTTGATAAAACTGAAAAACTTTTGTAACCAAAACTAAGAATTAGTAGAAAGATTGCTGAAAGAGCCAGTGTTATAGATCAACAATAACCAACAGAAAATGTAATGGCCAGCATGAAAATGGGGATCATATTCACCAGAGAGAAAACACTATATAAAATACCTAGGATCGGGGCTGCTATAGTGCTTGCCTAACAGGCAGAAGACCTTTAGGTTTGATGCCCAGCACTGCAAAACACAAGACACACACACCCCTAAATTGCCACAGTCTGGCTGGACACACAATCACGAGCCACCACACAGCTTGTAGATTCAAACAGCAACTCTTTATTCCCGAACTCACACCAGCCGTCTACCAACACGTTCTGGGGAAATCCACGTTCTCTGCCCAAATCCACCTCCACTGGGCTTCTATCTCCAAAATATACTGTCTGAATCCCGTGAGAACTCAAGGGGAACTCAGGCAGCAGGATACGCCCTATTCCCAGCAGGAATAATCTTAAACCTTAAACCTGGAACCTAAACCGGGAACGCCCTAATCCGCCTTGGTCCTTGAGCAAGGTCACCTACATTCAATGTCACTGCAACATGGGGTACGCTGGCAAGGAAATTGTCATACCTACTTGGCTAATGGCTCCCAGCACTAAATAAAAGATGGGAGAGACTGACTGAAATGTTAACAGTTCTAATTATGTGATTTTGGTTTTCCGTTGTAGTTTTTACATTTTCCACAGCAAATATTAACAGACTTTACTTTGAAGAGATATTAGGACTGACATTGGTAATCATTATTTGCTCTTCATTGACATAGCAATTAGAAAAACAAATAACATTTTCCTTACTTTAATTCAAAAACAGATATTCTGCCTCCATGGTGGCCTCTCTCCATCCATAGATACACTGGATCATATAAGAGCCCTGGATCGTTTACAAGAAGTTCCACATGAGGTAAACTTAGTTTAAAAAAAAAAAAGATGACCACCACATTGTGGGAAAGCTAAATATTAGACTGCCAATCCCTAAAAATCAAATGCCGAATGTCTTCTCTGATATAAGGGAGGTGACTCAAAACAGAGTAGGAAGAAAGAGCATGAGAAGAAGCTTACCACAAAACAAGGAAAAGAGATGGGAGGGAGAAAGGGAATTGCACGGAAGACAGAAGGAGACCCTCATGGGTTCACAAAATACATATACGATGGTGTGAGGGGGAAGGAAAGAAAAAAAGAGAGAGATAAGTGTCACAGTAGAATGGGTAGAGAATAGTGAGGGGAGGGGAGGGGAGGGGAAGGGGGATAGGGAGGGCAGCAGAATACAACTGACACTAGGATTGCTGTATGTATACACATGGATGTATAACTAATGTGATCCTGCAATTGTACATGTGGAAAAATGAGAATTCATACCCCATTTGAATCAAATATATGCTATGTCAAGATCATTGTATTGTCTTGAGCAACTAATAAAAAAAATAATAATAATGATTTATAATATGTATTTAATTTTCTTGACCAGGGCCCAATGTGTGATCTGTTATGGTCAGATCCAGATGATCGTGGTGGCTGGGGTATTTCACCACGTGGTGCTGGCTACACATTTGGACAAGACATTTCTGAAACATTTAACCATGCCAATGGTCTCACACTGGTTTCACGTGCTCACCAGCTTGTAATGGAAGTATGTACTTTTCCTACAGGATGATCTTTATTTCAGATAATATTAATATCTGTAATAAGGTTTCAATATTAGCATTTAGGAAACATTCCTTATTTATTTTAGCAAAGAGGAAAGTTGGCCAGAACAAAATGATAATTCAGTTTTGAAACTGAGACTTAGAGAAAAATTGTAACAGTAGTACCCTAAAGTTGTGTTGCACCCTTCAGAGTGCTGAATATAAATGTTTTACCATATTTGCTTTATTTTCTCTTTCCTTTTCCCTCCTTACACTATTTTTTTCTGAACCATTTAAATGTTAGGTATATATAGACAAATTACCCCCAAATTTTCTTGTGGTTTGCTGTTGTTGTTGTTGTTTTAAATTAAGGACATTCTCTTATATAACCAAAAGTATAGTTATTATAGTCAGGAAATCAATACTGGTATAGTGCTATTGTCTAAACATTGTAGTCAAATTTTGCTAATTATGTCTGTCACCCAGTGTCCTTTAGCAACAATTAATTTTTGCATATGTGCATATCTAAGATTATGTTTGCATTCAGTCTCCTTTGGTTGGGAAATAATTCCTTAGATTTTCTTTGTTTTGTGTGATCTTGACATTTTGAAGTAGTACAAGCAATTTATTTTACAGAAATCTCTCTCAGTTGAGATTTGACTGATGTTTACTTGTGATTATAGATTCAGGATGAGCATTTTTGGCAACTATACTGCAGAAAGACATTGTGTCCTCGGTGCCTCTTACCGAGGGGTCATGAAATCTATTTGTCCCACTGCTGGTGGTGTTAACTGATTACTTAGTTCAGGTGACCCCTGCCTGATTTCTCCACTGTTACATTACTACTTTGTTAACTACTAAAGGACTAGAAATATAACCACTCCAAATCAGTAGGGAATGGTTTCAGGATGTTAGAACAAAACATTACTAACCTTGTAGAGACACATAGAGGGGCAGGAATATGATAAAGAACATAAATTCAAAAAAGTTTTAAAAAGAACATAAATTCATGGGGCAAAAATAAATCTAATTGTGTCAATAATCATAAGAAATGTAAATAGACTAAAACTTTCTTGCCTAAAAGACTGTCTATTTACAACTAAAAAATGATATTCCCAGATTGGATAAATAAATCAAAATTTAGCTGTTATCTGGGACCTGCCTAAAAACATTACAAGCTAGAGGTAAGGAATGGAAAATGGTGTATATCAAGTAGAAAATATAGCCAATAATATGAATCAGAATAGACTCTAAGGTAAAAAGTATTATTAGGAATAAAACAAGGTCATTATTGATGAAAATTGGCCCAGAAGAAAAAGTTTACATTTGCTTAATAATAGCTTCAAAATATATAAACCAAAAATTGATGAAATTTATGAGGGAATCTGTCATCTTTTTTACCACATTTTTTAAATTAATGTATTATAGTTGTACCTAATAGTGGTATTTGTTGCTACATATTGGGAATCTCATATTTGTGGAAGAAGTTTCAGTATACACCTGAAGATATGTAGCATAGATAAGGAAATCTACACAGTTCTGGGCCCAGTAGTTGTACAGTATTCTGTGTAGGTACAAAAATTTAAAGATGAAGCCAGGTATGCTGGCACATACCTGAAATCCCATGAGGCTGAGATAAGATCGTGAGTTCAGAGCCAGCCTCAGCAACTTAGTGAGGTACTACGCAACTCAGTGAGACTCTGTCTGTAAGTAACAAAAAACTGCTGGGGATGTGGCTCAGTGATTTAAGTGCCTGAGTTCAATCCTTGGTGCCAAAAAAAAAAAAATTAAAGATGAAAATAATGTAAGGTGGTAGAGATGACTACATATCCACAGAGAGAATTTGTAATTTTTTAATTTCTCTATTTCAAGATAATTTTATAATGAAATATTATTTTTTGTCCTGCAGGGATATAATTGGTGCCATGATCGGAATGTGGTTACCATTTTCAGTGCACCCAATTACTGTTACCGTTGTGGGAACCAGGCTGCTATCATGGAACTAGATGACACTTTAAAATATTCTTTGTAAGTAACTTTAAATTTTAATTGTATAGAGATGCGGATATAGCTCAGTTGGTAGAGTGCTTGCCTTGCATGCACAAGGCCCTAGGTTCAATCCCCAACACACCAAAAAAAAAAAAAAACGTATAAAGCACTTTTTTAAAAGAAAATTCTTTAATGTAGCTATTAAAAATAGAGGTAGATGAGTTCTGCTTCTGAAATGGTACAATGAGAAGTGTGGTAAACCTCCCCAATAAAAACAATGAGAAACTGGAGAAAAAAACTTATTTTCTTTTTGGTATAGGAGATCAAACCCAGGGTCTTGCACATGCTAGGCAAGCACTATACCTCCAGCTCAGGAAATTATTTTTTAAAATATTGGGGCTGGGGTTGTAGCTCAGTGGTAGAGCTCTTGCCTTGCATGTGTGAGACATTGGGTTTGACTTACCACCACATAAAAATAAATACATAAATAAAATAAAGATATTGTGTCTATTTACAACTAAAAAATATTTTTTAAAATATTAAAGTATAAATGTAACATTAAATATAGAAGCAATATATAATAAATAAAATATAAATATATTTCTAAAAATTATTTAGTTTTTGGAAATTGTCCTAAGAGATTACAGTAAATAGAGAAACAGTTAAGAAGATCTACTAAATCTTGGTAATGACAGTAGGAGGTTGTGGCTTTGAGCCATTACATGCTCCTTCCCCTGCTCCCACATCCCTCTTACAGAAACTACTCTAGTTGCTTTACTCTGGGTTAGTATAGTCAAGAAGGTGAGGGCATCCCCTTCTGCAGATTCCATTCTAGGCTTATGATCTCATTTCAGCACCAACATATCCCACCTGCCCTTGTCCTGGGTTACAGATGTTCTACTCATGATGGATGAAGTTTAGTGACTGAGACCCCTTCCACAACCGTTTCTAGGGTGAAAGCTCTATTCCAGACATGGATGGAAGGCTGAGAACACTGGGTTTCCAGTTGTTCTTGCCATGGTACCTGCTTGCAAATCAGGAGGTGTCTCACAAGCAGGCCATGCCTATTGGCTTACTGTCCATCTGTTTTCCCCCTCCCTACAGTAACAGAAGTTCTGCTCAGGGTGGAGAGGCAGACCAAAAAAGTTGCTCAGCTCTGTCTGAGAGAACTGGCCCTGCTTGGAATTCTCCATCCTCTATTCTAAGTCTCTGAATCCTTTGTCAAAAACAATGAATATCATGCTGGAGACCAAGGAAAAGAACTCTCATAGTTCCTATCATACTTACAACAAGCTAAAGAGCAGAGCAAGAAGTTTAATAGATAAAAGTAGGAAAGGAGATAGCCAAGAAAAGCTCGGCTGAGTTTGGGGATGTGGCTAATCACCCCTGGGTTCCATCCCTGGTCCCAGCTTGGCTGGGATCACAGTCAGTTAGCACTATGAGGCCAGAAGGTTCTGCACATATACTAACTGCAACCTCTTAGGAGCAGAGTATGGCATGGGGTATTCCAAGCCACACATAGTGAGTTAATTAGTGTCCCCTCTAAAATTCATGTCTCCAATTATGATAATATTTGGAAATAGGGTCTTTGCAGATATAATTTTAAAATACAGACATACTAGATTCTTCTCAGAGGAAAAGAAACACAGACACATAGGTGAGAAGCCACATGACATCAGACGAGAAGCAACCTATCTATAAGCCAAGAATTTTATCTACCAGAAGAAAAGCCAGGGAGAAACAGGAAGAATGTTTCCATAGGGTCTTCAGCAGATGGTCAGCCAATACCTTTATTTCAGACTCTACCATCCAGAACTCTGGGAGAATAAATTCCTGTTGTGGTTATTTGTTCTGAGAAAATATTAGAAAGGTCAACAAAGGGCATGTGTCTACTAGGGGCTTAAACATAACCTTTAAAATAAACACTGGCTAAACAAGTTTCTCTGGCCTTGGAATACATTTTAGGAAGCCAGGCTTTAAAATAAAATCGTACTTATCCTTTGCAGTCTTGAAGAGAGTACATGCTTAAGGTCACATCCTCTCAGGACTGATTGGAAAAGGAAAATCCAAGTGAGACTGAATCTCAGGAATGCAAATTTGGGCTGGACATGGTGGCACATGCCTGTAATCCCAGTGGCTGGGTAGGCTAAGGCAGGAAGATTGCGAGTTCAAAGCCAGCCTCAGCAAAAACAAGGCACTGAGCAACTCAGTGAGACCCTGTCTCTAAATAAAATATAAAATAGGGCTAAGGGTGTAGCTTAGTGGTTGAGTGCCCTGAGTTCAATCCCCTTACCCCTCCCCCCAAAAAATCCAAATTTGGGCCAGGCAAAATAGCACATGCCCATAATCCCAGTAACTCTGGATGCTGAGGCAGGTGGATTTCAAGTTCAAAGCCAGCCTAAGCAACTTAGCAAGACCCTGTCTCAAAATTTTAAAAAAGGGCTGGGAATGTAGGTTAGTGGTTAAGCACCCATGAGTTCAATCTCCAGTACTCCCTCCCCACCCCCGCAAAAAAAGAATGTAAACTTGGTTCAAAACATGAAAATAAAATATTAGTCCAGGGCTGGGGTTGTGGCTCAGTGGTAGAGTGCTCACCTAGGTTGCATGAGGTACTGGGTTTGATCCTCAGCAACACATAAAAATGAAATAAAGATATTGTGCCTATGGGGCTGGGATGTGGCTCAAGCTGTAGCGCACTCGTCTGGCATGCATGCGGCCCGGGTTCGATCCTCAGCACCACATACAAACAAAGATGTTGTGTCCGCCAAAAACTAATAAATTAGTATTAAAAAATTAAAAAAAAAAAAAGATATTGTGCCTACTTACAACTAAAAAGTAAATATTTTAAAAATAGTAGTCCATATTCATTTTTAAAATATTTTTGTAGTAGATGGAAACAATAACTTTATTTTATTTTTATGTGTTTGCTGAGGATTGAACCCAGTGCCTCTCACATGCTAGGCAAGCACTCTACCAACTGAGCTATAACCCCAGCCCCATTCTGTATTAATATTAAAGACAAAAACCAAATGAACATTTTAGTAGAGGCAGAAAAATCACTTGATAAAACCCAGAATCCTTTCAAAATAAAAATACTCAATATACAGGCCAGGCATGGTGGTACACACCTGTAATCCCAGCTCCTCAAGAAACTGAAACAGGATGATCACAAGTTGGAGGCCAGCCTGGGCAACTTAGACTGTCTCAAAATAAATTGGGGGTGTAGCTCAATGGTAGGGCCCTTACCTAAGGCCTTGCACAAGGCCCTGGGTTTGATCCCCAGTACTGCAAAAAAAAAATAATAATAATAATAAACTAGTAATTTCTCAACCTAATAAAGGTATCTATGAAAACCCCTAATTTAGTATCATATTTAATATAGAAAAAACAGTTCTTCAGTAGTGAGAGAAGCATGTCCAATCTTACTATACATCCATTTAACTGATACAGATCTTTTTTTGCCAGGCACTAAAACAGACATTTTATTTGTTTAAATTTTTACTGTGGCTCTGTGAACTGGTAACATAGTTGCTACCATCTACAGTGAAGTGCCCAGGGCCATTCCAGCTACATACAGTAGTAGAGAGCCAGGACTATTATTTCCATCAGGTGTCTTGTTCTTTATTGGTTGGTTTGTTTGTAAAGTCAAATACTTCAATGATTTACTTTCTTCTGCCATTTATAGTCTTCAGTTTGACCCAGCACCTCGTCGTGGAGAGCCTCATGTTACCCGGCGCACCCCAGACTACTTCCTGTAAATTCCTCCTGGGAAAACCTGCCTTTGTATGTGGAAGTATACCTGGCTTAAAAAAAAAAAAAATATATTATATATATATATATATGTATATATATATACATGTATATATATACACATATATATTTAAAAACAAACAGAAAGAGCAACAGTAATCTGTGTGTTTCTGTAACAAATTGTGACCTGTCTTTGGCATTAAACCACATCATGGACCAAAATGTGCCATACTAATGATGAGCATTTAGCACAATTTGAGGCTGAAATTTAGTACACTATGTTCTAGATTGTTCAGTCTAACAGTATGCCTGCTGTATTTGTAGTAACCATTTTCCTCTGGACTATTCAAGCAAAAAAGGTAACTAACCACATCTTCCCTGCGCTTACTTGGAAATTTTAGTTTTAGTGTTTAACTGGCATGGATTAAAAAGAGTTGGAGTTTTATTTTTTGTGAAAAATTTCACAAGCTGACTTCCACTTAATCCATTACCCTTTATTTTATTGAAATGTATAATTAACAAAGAAGTCTTCTTGGGAGTATGTTGTCATAACATTATAGAGATTTCCCTTCATTTAAACTAAATTACTGTTTTATGTTGATCTGCATATTTCTGTATATTTGTCATGACAGTGCTTGCATCCTATTTGGTGTACTGAACAAATAAACTTTCCATTTTAAACAAAAACATTGGTTTAACTGTGATGAGCATTAAATGGAAGTTTCACTGTTTTGGAATTTGATATGAAATCTCTTGTAGTAAACAGTTCTGTCTAGGTAATTTAATGTTCTTGTATAGTTTATTTTCAGAAAAGAATCCAAACATTAGCTCATATCTTAGACCATTAAAAAGCCATTTTTATTTTTAAACATTATTAATTTATACTAATATATTCAACCACTTCAAGTACAAAATATAAATTTTATGTTGTAACTAAAGAATATGCTATGACTAGGGAAAATTTTTAATACTGAAATGTTATGAACTAGAAACAAATAAATTGGTATCTGAAAGAATTTAGTAGTAGTAGTAAGAGATGGTACTATTCAGATATATAAATTCCAAATCCTTTTTAAAGGGGAGAGTATGGAATCAGTGGTTGAGAGAGAACATGGAAGATGGCACATAGAATCAGTGGTTGAGAGTGAATGTGGGAGATGGCACAAGGGGGGAGAAACTCCACTATTTTTTTAGAAGAAAATTAGCTGATAGAAATAAGTATAAACATCTCAAAATCACAATCAATGTAAATGGACTCAATTAAATAAATAGACTTGGAGACAATATTTTAGAGTATATCAGTACATATGAAATTACCTGATTTCTAAACCTCAATATGTTTTGTGTGGTTTCATTGTGTACCCCAAAATTCACGTGTTGGAAACTTAATCCCCAATGCAATAATGTTAAGGGGAGGGGGGGAACAAGTTCAGTCCTCCCTTGCTCTGAGATCTTATGCCCTTCAGCCTTCCTCCATGGAAAGACAAAAGGCAGCCCTCATCAGATGCCAGCCCCTTAATCTTGGACTTCCCAGCCTCCAGAACTGTAAGAAAGAAATCTGTTTTTTATAAATTATTTAGTCTCAGTTACCCTGTAGCTCACAGAACAGACTAAGATAAAATTGGTACTGAGAACTGGGATTGTTGCTAAAACATACCTGAAAATGTAGAAGGTGGTATCTTTTGAACTAGATAGAGTCTGAGCTAGGCATGGTGGTGCAGGGCTGTAATCCCAGCGGCTAAGGAGGCTTAGGGAGGAAGACTGTGAGTTCAAAGCCAGCCTCAGCAACTTAGTGATGCCCTAAGCAACTCAGCAAGAGCCTGTCTCTAAATAAAATATTTTAAAAGGGCTGAGGATATGGTTAAGTGCCCCTGGGTTCAATTCCCAGTATTAAAAAAAAAAAAAAAAAAAAGTCTGAAAGATTTTGAGGGGCATCCTAGAAAAAGACTAGATTGTTATAATCAAAGCTTTTTTAAAAAAATGTTTTTAGTTGTTGATGGACCTTTAATTTTTATTTATTTATATACGGTGCTGAGAATGGAACCCAGTGCCTCACACATGATAGGCAAACACTCTACCACTGAGCCACAACCCCAACACCCAGAATCACTCTTAAAGCACCACATTTAAAAAAAAAAAAAAAAGGTATTGTGTTCATCTACAACTAAAAAAAAATATTAAAAAGTGACTCTGATAAGAGCTCAGAAGAAAAAATGTGGGGAGAGTCTGAAACTTCAATTACTTAAGTGATCATAGAATATTAGTAAAATTATGGATAGTAAAGCCATTCTGATGAGGTTTCTGATTAAAATGAAGAGCAAGGTATTGGAAATTTGAATAAAGTCTATTTTTATTATAAATTTATTATAATAACATGGCCAAATTGTCTCTCTGCTCAGGGTCTTCATAGAAGACAGAATTCAAGAGCAATGAACTAGGATATCTGGAAGGAATTTCTAAACAAAATGATTAAAGGAGCTGTGTGGTTGCCTTCTTGGAGTGTGATTTTGAGATGTCCTTTATTATTGTTTCTTGTAGGCAGCATGTTTGGGTGTTTGGTTTTTTTTGTTGTTGTTTTGTTTTTGTTTTTTTATTATTTTTGATCCAGTACTCTTTGCTTTTAACTGGGGATATGTAGATTATATTTGCATTTAATGTGATTATTGGTATGGTAAGGTTTTAACCTGTCATTTTGATGTTTTCTCTTTATCCCATTCTTCTGAACTTTTTGGATTAATTTAATATTTTTTTATTCTGTTTATCTCCTAAGTATACTTCTTTGGGCTAAGTATACCTCTTTGGTTTTTATTGTTTGTTTTTGTTGTGATACTGGGTATTGAACCCAGAGGCACTTTACTCCTGAGCTCCATTTCCAGCCCTTTTTTTAAAATTTGAGACGGAGTCTTAAGTTGGTTAGGGCCTCACTTGCTAAATTGCTGAGGCTGGCCTCAAATTTGCAATTCTCCTGCCTCAGCCTCCTGAGTTTCTTGGGATTACAGTTGTGCACCACTGCCCCCACCCCCAACACTGTGGGGTTTTTTGGTTTTTTTGTTTTTGTTTTTGTTTTTTTTAAGAAGTTGCCTTACTGGGCTGGGGATGTGGCTCAAGCGGCAGCGCGCTTGCCTGGCCTGCGTGCGGCCCAGGTTCAATCCTCAGCACCACATACAAACAAAGATGTTGTGTCCGCCAAAAACTAAAATATAAATATTAAAATTCTGTCTCTCTTTAAAAAAAAAAAAAAAAAGAAGTTGCCTTACGATTTGTGGCATGCTTGTTTGGACAGTGTCTTAATAAGTTGCTGAAGCTAGCCTCAAACTTCTCTGGCTCAGCCTCCCAAATTGATGGAGTTACAGATAATGTGCCACCAAGCTCAGCTTCATGGCAAACAGGTTTTTTTGTTGTTTGTTTTGTTTTTTGGTGGCGGGGGTGAGGGGGTGGATACCAGGGATTGAACTCAGGAGCACTTGACCACTGAGCCACATCCCCAGTCCTATTTTGTATTTTATTTAGAACAAAGAGTCTCCCTGAGTTGCACCTCACTTTTGCTTAGACTGGCTTTGAACTCACATTCCTCCTGCCTTGGTTTTTCTTCTTTTTGAGAGTGGGTATGGTAGCTGTATATGTAAGTACTAGCCTGAGAGGTGTGAGAGGGGGTTATGTGTTTGTCTGGGTCATATTTTAAGAAGAAACTGCTGTCACATTTTATTACTCCATTCCTGGGTCTGAATATGTGGCTTGCATACACACACACACACACATACATATATATTTTGTTTTAAAAAATATTTATTTAGTTGTAGATGAACACAGTATCTTTATTTCTATGTGGTGCTGATCAAACCAGTGCCTCACATGTCAGGCAAGCACTGCACCACTGAGCTACAGCCCCAGCTCTGTAGCATATTTTTTTAACAATATAGTCTACCTTTAAGTGGTATCACACCAGTCCGCAATACCTTCTAATAGTATACCTCCCAACTTAGTGCCATTGTTGTCATACATTTTCAATTTACATATATTAAACCCCATATTTGGGGTTGGGGATATAGCACAGTTGGTACAGTGCTTGCCTCACATGCACAAGGCACTGGGCTCAATCCCCAGCACCACCAAAAAAATAAATAAATATATATATATATTAAAAACAGTATTTTTTTCTTCCTTTTTTGTGGTGTAGGGATTGAATTTGAATACTGGGCCTCATGCATGCCACTAAATAAACCCTCTAACCCTGAAATAAACCCTCCAACCCTAAAAATTATCTGCTGGCAATTGATTCCTTCAGTTTTATGTCTTTAAAATATTTATTTCATGTTCATTTGTGAAACATTTTCACCAGGTATAAAGTTGTCATTGTAGAATCAGAGCCCATAGCCTCAAATGGTTCCCTTGTGCTGAGGGCAGGTATTGGAGTCCTAGGTTGTTCTCTGGTGCTACTGCTCCCCCTTCAGCTTCTAGCTTCCCCTGCACACCTGCATCATGGAGAGGTGTCTGTCTCCACACTCTCATTTCTTCCCCAGTTGCCCCAGCAGCATACACTGCATGGCTGCATGTAAGAGCAGATAAGATTCCCTGCTGTCCAAATTCAGTCAGTCTTAGGTGGACCTTTGTGCTTTTGACTTCTGAAGGGAAGTTTTTGTCAGCATTCTTGCTTCTCTTACCTGTGGCAGCCAAGCTTTGCTTTGGCTCTGTAGTTGGTATGAGACTTGAGTTTTCTATCCCATCTCCAGCAATGGTAGACATATGTTTGATGTTTGTGATTAACCCTCTTTCCAGGATAGAGAATCCTTGCATCTCCCCTTCTCTCGGCAGTAATAAATCGTTGCCTGAGTACTGAAAGAGGCAGATGGACTTAGATTCTATTTCTCCAGAAACAGCAAGTCGGCCAGTGCACTGATGGTCATAATGCTTGTAGTACCTTCCCCAGCAGGTTGAGAAGGGTCTAGGGAATCTGGAGCTTTGGTGAAACCTGATCTGATGGAGCAAAGCCTTCTGAGTGGGATTTCCCTTTGTGTGTTAGGCCCACAGTCAGGACTAGCTTCAAATTCAGTTTAATGTCTGCTGTTGCCATCTTGAAACTCTTCATATTTGAGCAAGGGTTTCCACATTTTCATTTTGTACCAAGGCCTGCAAATTAAATAGCTAGTTCTTTTCAACCTTATCTAGTAGTCCAAGCTTGCCTTTAAAAATTCTAAAATCTTGATGTGATAGTATGCGCCTGTAATCCCAACTACTCAGGAGGCTGAGGTGGGAGAAACACTTGAGTGGACAAATTCAAGACCAACCTGCAACATAGAACTTAATCGCAACATATAAACAAGCATGTTTTTAAAAGTTAAAATCTTAGCTTGTATAGTAGCTACTCCTGTTCTTTTCCAAAAGGAACACAGTTCCTGTGTCCTGTCTTTCCTTGAATTCTTTGGAATTCAGTTTACACAATTGCTTTGCAGCCTCAGCTCAGAGCTCAAAAATGTTATGACTTTGTATATCATCCAGCTGTTCACTGATTTTAGAGTAGGAGCAATATTCTTCATAGCTTCCCATGTCCTAAGCACAAATCCAAAATGCTGTATGATTAGAAATTGTGTTTAGGATCTGTTTCAACTAGCAATTAACTGAAAAAATTTAGTTCCTACCTTTTAAAGAATTTCACATTTAAAAAAAATTTCCTTCAAGAAAAGGTATTATTATGGTTTTTATTTTCCCTTTCCCCCACAACAAACTATATCGTAGTGTCACTGTCAGAACCTAAAATGACTTTGTTAATAACATGACTATTGAATTAAGCTTAGACGAGGACTACCCACATCATTACAATGAAGGAGCAAGTTTACAAAATAAAGCATGATGTATGATGAAAGGACAAAATTTTCTAAGAATCTCTGGCCTCAACTCTAGAGAAGCTGAGTTTGAGTTCATATAGTTAATGTCTCAGCAACTACCAGGGGCTTTCACTATTAACCTCAATACACTCTCACCTGACCACTTTGTATACTGTTTTGGAAGTACTCAGAAGCATATTTAATGTACTTAAGATGTAGCTTTTACATTTTGTTTTACTTCACTGAAGCATATTATTAAAAACTTTAGTAAAACAGGCTAAGTTAAAATAGGATTCGAGTTATTTTCCTTTCGACATTCAAAAAAACCAAAGCTTTAGTAAGTCACAGTTTCTCATAGGTCGCGTAACAAGTTTACAAATTTATGGGATCCTTTTTTATCTTAAAGCCTATTAAAACCTTTTAACATTCAAATCATGGAAATTTTTATAGAAAGTATAAAAGGATCCCATATACTTTAGTTTTAATATTATCTATACTCCTACCTATTCACCCCACTCCAGATTATTTTGAAGCCATTTTTTACCTATAGTTTCTATCATATTCTAAAATATATATTTATTAAAATATATATTTATTTTTTTAGTACCAGGGATTGACCCCAGAGGTGCTTAGCCACTGAGCCACATATCCTCCCTCCCACCCCCATTTTTTCCATTTTGAGGCAGGGTCTGTTCCTTAGGGCCTCGCCAAGTTGCTGAGGCTGGCCTTGAACTTTTTTTTTTTTTAATAATATTTTTGTTGATAGACCTTTATTTTATTTATCTATATGTGGTGCTGAGAATCGAACTCAGTACCTCACACATGCTAGGCAAGTGTTCTTATCACTGAGCCACAACCTCAGCCCTGGCCTCAAACTTTTGATCCTCCTGCCTTAGCCTCCTGTGTTGTTGGGATTACAGGCATGTACCACTAGCTAGTATATACCTTTACAGATAAGGATTCTCTTCCCACTTACCTTTCCTCCTCCTCCTTCCCCATACTCTTGTCACACCTACAAAAAATTAATGATTTTTTTCCACCTCATTGCTAGATGGCTATGGGTCATCAGTAGTTCCATCTCCCTGTATTAAGAATACTGCTGGGTAGAGAGGGAAGATGGGAGGGGAGGGGAGGGGGGATAGTAGGGGATAGGAAAGGTAGCAGAATACAACAGTCACTAATATGCCATTATGTAAAAATGTGAGTGTGTAACCGATGTGATTCTGCAGTTTGTATTTGGGGTAAAAATGGGAGTTCATAACCCAATTGAGTCAAATGTATGAAAGATGATATATCATGAGCTTTGTAATGTTTTGAACAACCAATTAAAAAAAAAAATACTGCTGGGGCTGGTGCTGTAACTCATTGGTAGAACACCTGCCTAGCCTGTGTGAGGCACTGGGTTCAATCCTCAGTACCACATAAAAATGAATAGAAGTATTGTGTCCATCTACAACTAAAAATTTTTAAAAAAGGAATACTGCCTTTTGTAACCAAGGAAACAATTAAGTATCTCTATTTTTAGCCTTTTAGTGTTGCACGCAACTGTAAATGTTGTGTTAAAATGTCTGAGTTGGGCATATAATCCCAGCAACACTGCAGAATGCAGGAGGATCCTAAGTGTTGAACAACTTAGTGAGACCCTATTTTTTTTTTGTTTTGTTTTTTAATATTTATTTTTTAGTTGTAGATACAATAACCTTTATTTATTTTTATGTGGTGTTGAGGATTGAACCCAGGGCCCCGCACGTGCTAGACAAGCACTCTACCCCTGAGCCACAACTGCAGCCCAATGAGACCCTGTTTTAAAAAATAAAATGGTCTGGGGTGTAGCTCAGTGATAGAATATGCCAGGGTTCAACCCCACTTTATCACTACTCCTCCCCCGAAAAAGAATGTCTGCATTACCATGCCAAGAAATGGCCCTGAAGATTTTTGTGTTAGAGATTGGGGTGATGGCCTGGCATGGTGGTGCACGCCTATAATCCCAGCTGTTCCAAAAGCTAAGGCAGGAGGATTTGGAGTTCAAACAACTTAGCAAGGACAACTTGGTGGGACCTTGACTCTAAATAAAATACATAATAGGGCTGGGCATGTAACTCAGTGGTGGAGTGCCCAAGTTCAATCCCCAGTACCAAAAAAAAAAAAAAAAAATTGGGTCAATGAAGCCAGGCACAGTGGTTCATGCCAGTAACAATAGTGACATGGAAGATAGGGCTAAGGCAGGATAGATAGCAAATTCAATGGCAGCCTCAGCAACCTAGCAAGACCCTGTTCTCAAAAGGGACTGAGAGTTGGGTGTGATGGTAGAGGCAGAAGAATTACAAGTTGGAGGCCAGCCTCAGCAACTTAGACCCTTCTCAAAACAAAAAATAAAAAAAGGCTGGGGACATAGCTCAGTGGTTAAGTGCCCCTGGGTTTAATCCCCAGTACCAAAAATAAGAAATAAAAGGGACTGAAGAAGTAACAGTAATAAAGCATCCCTGGGTTCAATCTCCAGTGTGGGGGGAGGGGAGGATTATTCTAGGCCCTGGGGGCAGGGTATAGCTCAGTTGTGATTCTCCTCAGTTCCTAAGGCACTGGCATTAGAGTGTGCCACTGTTGTTACAATTTAATACAAGGAAAAATTGGACTTTGAAGTTTTGACATTTTTAATTTTGAGAAATACAACAGAGTAAACACTCCAACTTATAAGGTTTTGAAAGGTTTGATTGGATTGTGAAATATATTCATTGTGGCTGGGGGTATAACTCAGTTGGTGGATTGCTTGCCTCACATGCACAAGGCTCTGGGTTCAATCCCCAGCACAAAAAAAAAAAAAAAAAAAAAGAAAAAAAAAAATTTTTGTGTGGTAAAATGGATTGAAGAGAAAGAAACTAAAGACCTATGACTTTGGGGTGTTTTTTTTGTTTGTTTTGTTTGGTTTGGTTTGGTTTTTGGTACCAGGGATTGAATCCCCAGGAGTGCTTAACCTCTAAGCCACATTACTAGCCTTTTTATTTTTTACTTAAGAGACAGGGTCTCGCTAAGTTGCTTACCACCTCACTAAATTGCTAGGCTGGTCTTGAATTTGCAATCTTCCTGCCCATCCTGCCCTTCCTGACTGTTTTTTTTTTTTTTTTTTAAGTTTTTAATTGATTTTTTTCAAAATTTCTTTACATACATGACAATAGTGGAATGCATTACATTCATAATTATCCATTCACAGCACAATGTTTCGTAACTGTTTTTAACATACTGAGAAATGATATGAAGTAGGAAAATATAAATTATTGTGTCCCTTATAATATACATTTTTTTACCTTATTCAGTACATTATAGATGGCACATTCTACAAATCATGATATAAAGAGAACAATTCTTTTTTAAATTTTATGTCAATTATTTTTCCACGAATAACAACATTAGTGTTCACTGCCTTGAGCTCAATCAAGGTATGGCATGATTTTAATGTGGATCCTTTATTGTCCTGTCAAGGTCATGGCATAACTGATTTTAAGTAGAACAGGTAGTTTTCATTTCTTTACTAGTTGCTCTGCTCTTTCTCTTCCACATTAAGTACAGTATCCACGGTTATTCCTATATCCGCCAGTGACCTATCTCGCTCCACTTCTAATGGCCTTCTGGGAAAGGATGTGGAAAGGCCATATAGGGATGTATGGTACCCAATTTTCATCATCCAGTCAAGTAAGACCTAGAAGATAAAAAGCTTAGACATTATCGAATATTGTACACACTTATGGTCCTCCAGAACACTATGACATTTTATAGTTCTGTTGCTGTGAAATTATGTCCTTAGGAGTAATGATATAGAACTTTCAGGGTTGGGGTTGTAGCTCAGTGGTGAAGTGCTTCCCTCGCATGTGTGAGACACTGGGTTCAATCCTCAGCACCACATAAAGATAAATAAACAAAAGTATTAAAAACAAAAATAAATCTTAAAAAAAAAAAAGAACTTTCAAAGATATTTCCTTTCTAGAGTTTAAAGGAAATTTATTTCATGAATTTTGAGATGTGAATAACTTCTAATACCTTTTGTTCCAGAAGAGGTATAGGGACTAATGGCATTTAACAACTGAGATACTTAAGTTAGGAAAGCCTCATTCATACATATAGAATGGAAAGAGGATTCAATAAAGAGGTTAAGAATAAAATATTAGCTAGGCACAGTGGCACATGCCTGTGATCCTACCAACTCTGGAAGCTGAGGCAGAAGGATCACAAGTTCAAAGCCAGCCTCAGCAACGTAGCGAGTCCTTGTCTCAAAAATAAAAAGGACTAGCTGGGCGCGGTGATGCACGCCTGTGATTCCACAGGCCAGAAGGCTGAAACAGGGAGCCAGCCTCAGCAAAGGTGAGGCACTAAGCAACTCAGTGAGACCCTGTTTCTAAATAAAATACAAAATAGGGCTGGGATGTGGCTCAGTGGTAGAGTGCCCCTGGTTTCAATTCTTAGTACTAAAACAAAACCAAAGGGATGTAGCTTATTAGTATAGCATACGCCTAGCATGAAGCCCAGGGTTTCATCCCCAGCCAAAAAGGCCTCCAAAAAAACAAAATAAAAATAAAGTTATAGTAAAGGGAATAAAAATTTTAATACAGAGGGCTGGGGTTGTAGCTTAGTGGTAGAGCACTTACCTAGCATGTGTGAGGCACTGGGTTTGATTCTCAGCACCACATATAAGTAAGTAAATAAAAATAAAGGGCCATCGACAACTAAAAAAATGTTAAACAAAAAAAAAAATTGAGGGGCTGGGGTATGTTTCAGGGGTAGAGCGCTTACGTAGCATGTATGAGGCCCTGGGTTTGATCCTCAGCACCACATAAAAATAAATAAATAAAATTAAGGTATTGTGTCCAACTACAACCAAAAAAATAAATATAAAAAAAAAATTGAATGCAGAGATCACAATTCAAAGAAGCCTACCATGTCTACATATCCCAAAATCTGCCAATGTCAAGTACCTACAAATGTTCTTTATCCTTATCTGATGGGAATATCAGATGACAGTGTGATAACTCCCTGGATATTTGCCAAATTCAAGAAAAATATTCCTCATAATGCAAATATCCTCACCTGTGAACTCCAAGACTTAAAAAACCTTCTCCTTAGGACTTTCCCACCTAGACATCGGAGAGCAACAGTAACTACCTGAGAAATAAAAATGTTCAGATAAGAATTCCAATTTTTAAAAAATCAAATCCATAGCTCTTTAAGATTCCAAAATTACTACTAAGAAACACGTTATTATAAAAATTCACGTGGAGATTTGCAGGAATTTGCAACATCAAGGTCCAGATAAATTTCCCCCTAAACATGAAAATAATTCTTCTAAAACTGAAAAATAAACATCTTTCTACTAATGAGGAAGTGAAAGCCTTCCAAAGAGGACACCAAAGACCAAGTACTTTTTTCTGGGCAAATACTATTAAGATTGTAGCTTGTTTGAAAAGTAACCGAACAAAACAAGAAGACCTAGTGCCACTTTCTCAATGTACAGACAAGAAAACACTACCTGGAAGGAAACAAAAAGTTGCCTGCATACTCTGATACTATAGGCCACACACTATCTGTCCATCCTCCCAAGTAAGTGAGAGTGTTTGAGCAGCTCCAGCTTTTCTTCATCTACTGAATTCCCTCTATGATCATCCCTTTAATAAAGCACTTAGGCAGTTAAAAAGAGCTTGGAAACTGCTAGTATATTAAAGTCCATCATAAAAAGAGAAGACAATGATTAGTAACTTATACTGAAGTTCATTATGTACCTGCCAGTTGCTCAAAAGTGCCAGGAAACCCTTTCTTGTAACCAGCATCATTAACTGTCCTGAGAGCTACTGGGCATCATGTTATGTATAAATGTGGTTTTAGAGCAGCACACCTTCCCATCTCAGGAGACCCATGCTAGAAAATGCATCCACTGAGCTGGGGACGTTGCTCAGCAGTCAGAGCGCCTGCCTAGCACGTAAGAGACTCTGGGTTTAATCCCTCGTACTTGAAAAGAAAAGCAGCAGTAATTAAAATTGTTTCCCTGCTACTCCTTAAAATGAAATAAGATAGCATACAATAAAACAGTTGCTATAAAAATGTGGTAATATAACATGATGATTTACAAAATTATTTTCAAATTATTTTAAATTTTATGGTTATTTTTAATCTAAAAGTGGAACAGTAGCGGTAAATATTTCAATTGGGAATCGTGAACTACCACCATTATTTTCTCCTTTTTGAAAATCTACCCAGCTTAGTATTTTATAATGATATATCTATAATACTAAATATGTAACAGGCACTGAACAAATCAGGGTGTACTAATTAAATAAAAATTACATTGTTTTTCAGATCCCTCCCTCTCCTATCAGAAATCTATGTTAGTCATTAGTTCACTCTTCTATTAGTCTGCTCCTAAATCCAAGCAGGTTTCCAGTATAACAGGAATTTTCTCATGTGGCTCATTATTATAAAGTGAGCTACAACATATACAGAAAAAAACAAATACACACACACACAGAAAGAAAGCCTCCTCTAATTCTGATTTTTTGGTTTTTGGTACTGGGGAATGAACCCAGGAGTACTCAACCACTGAGCCACATCCGCAGCCCTTCTTTTGTATTTAGAGACAGGGTCTTACTGAGTTGCTTAGGGCCTCGCTAAATTGCTGAGGCTGGCTTTAAACTCAAAATCCTCCTGCCTCAACCTCCAGAGCTGCTGGATTACAGGCGTGCACCACTGTACCCAGCTAGTTCTGATATTCTTTAAAATGAATGTTAGTCTCATTTCCTAACAATACAAAATTATAAAGATTATTCTATAAGTAATGTCATTTAGTAAGTCTAATTTTAATTAGGAAATAGAGAATTTCCTAAAACTTATAATTTCCAGTATTCTTAAAAGTGAAAATATTTTTGAGGGGACTAGAGTTGTGGCTCAGTGGTAGAGCATTTGCCTGGAATGTGTGAGGATCTGGGTTCGATCCTCAGCACCACATACAAATAAAAAGAACAAAAGATCCATTGAAAACTAAAAAAAAATTTTTTTAAAAGTGAAAATATTTTTTACATATATACTCATAAAAGTATGAAGGTCAGGAGCAATGTATTACAGGAGCAAGCTTAATGTGTATGATGGTATGCAATGACATGTAATGATTATGATACCAGATCAAAACTGTTGACAAAATAGGAAACAGCATTTTAAGAAAGTCAGAAACAATATGACTGCATGATTTACAAAAACAAACATCCTCAAATCTTTAGTAAGTGTAGTATAACCCATTCCTCACTCTACATGTGCCTTTTTACTTTAAAAATGTTTTTTTTAGGGTGATAGGGTGGAAGGTAGGTTAGAAAGGCACAGCCCCAAAACAGATTGCTTTATTTCTCTTGTTTTTAACTTTTATGACAATGCTTACAATCTATTTTCATTATTCTAGTGGCAGGGAGCAGGGGGAATGCTACCATAGAGAGAAACAGAGGCAGAGAAAATTTGAAGGGACCAGTAAAACCAGAAACAACCAAGTTGATCTCAAATAGGGTCAGATCTAGGTCTAACACACACACACACACAAAAAAAAAAAAAAAAACCGTAACAAAAAAGATAGGTTCATGAGAATACAATTACTAAAAGATGAGAAGGGACATTTAAAGATATCAAGATTGCAAATGGTTAGTGAGGAAATAAAGATTTTTGCACTGAATTCTTAAAAATGCTAGGTAGCAACTGCACAGACTATATATGCTCTGTTCAATGATTCTAAGGTGGTCACGGTGGTACATGCCTGTAATTGTGGCCACTCAGGAAGGCTGAGGCAGGAAGATCCAAGTTTGAGGCCAGTCTGGACAACTTCCCAACACTCTGTTTCAAAAAGTAAAAAGCATTTGGGATGTGGCTCATTGGTAGAGCGCCTCAGAATTCAATCCCCAGAATAGCAAAAAAAAAAAAAAAAAAAGAGAGAGAGAGAGAAAAAAGAAAAAGAAAAGCCAGACATGGTGGTACCCGCCTATAATCCCAGCAGCTCAGGAGGCTGAGGCAGGAGGGTCACAAGTTCAAAGCCAGTCTCACAACAACAAGGCTCTAAGCAATTCAGTGAGACCCTGTCTCTAATAAAATACAAAATAGGGCTAGGGATGTGGCTCAGTGGTTGAGTGTTCCTGAGTTCAATCCCTGGTACCCCCTTCCCCTAAAAAAGATTCTAACAAAATAAAAATATTCTAATACTTCTTAATCCTTTTAAGGCTCACAAATATGAGAATCTGAAGAAAAGCATTGTCCTTGTATCTATAAAAAGGACAATTATAAGAGATTTCACTGAAAACCAATATCTATAATCCAACAAGAATAATGTCACATGCTTGAAAGACATGATAAATTCAAAAAAGGCCTTTCCTATAAAACCCAAAACTATATTTAATTACTATTATGTTTTTAAACGGTTGTCATGGATACCAGCCCAAAGCTTGAGAAGTAGAGATCAGGGCAAACATATTTATAGCATGAATTTGTCAGGCATAATGGCAGAATTAAAAGTCCTTAATAATTTTCAAGGAATATAATTGTTGCCAGACTAAAAAAAATAGAAAGCTATGAAGAGTTCTCTCTCTGAACATATTGTACAAATAACACATGCTCGGCCAAGAGCAGTGATATACACCTGTAATTCCAGAAACTCGGGAGGCTGAGGCAGGAGGATTGCAAGTTTGAGGTCAGCTTCAGCAATTCAAAACCCTAAGCAACTTAGCAGGATCCTGACTCAAAATAAAAATAGAAAAAAAAAATTTAAAGGGTGGCTGGGGAGGTGGCTCAGTAGTAAAGCACCCCTAGTTTCAATCCCCAGTACCAAAATAAAACAAAGATACATGCACTCCCTGTATTAGAACAAGTGCTTATAACTATGCTGGCCAATGGCAGCAAGGCAGTGCACACTGTAACAAAGCAGGTGGGAAGAAGCCACTCAGTGAAGCGGGGGTCAATTGCACCCCAGATCCCGTAACAGTGAACCATTCTTAAAACACAAAACATGCTGTAGTCTTCATCAGCTCTTCCTTAACGGAGAACTACCTTTGAAGCCATTTGTCTAACATGATTGTTTTAGTAAGCAGGTTATTTGCTGAGGCAGTGGTTAGTCTCCATAAAACAACTCGGAAAAAAAGCAGGCTTCAAGACCACGATTCAGCTGCCGAATTTGAAATTACCCCAAACTCAGAACAAGACCTCTTTACAGTGCAATCCCATGAACACTTCTGCTGTCTTCTCCCCAAACCCAGGTTTAGATAAGTCATACATGTTTACTTAGTATTAAACAGGAACCAGAAAATATACTTAATTTTCCAAGAAGCTTACTTCTTCAGTTGTTTCAGAAGGTTCTTCAGGTAAATCAGGAACCTAAAGAATTAGGGAGAGAAATGTAAACATTTTCAAGAAGCAAAAAATAATTGCAATGAGAAAGTTTCCTTTTGCCAGGCACAGTGACACATGCCTGTAATCCCAGCAGCTTGGGAGGCTGAGGCAGGAGGATCCAGAGTTCAAAGGCAACCTCAGAAACTCAGCGAGGTCCTAAGCAACTCAGTGATACCCTGTCTCTAAATAAAATACAGAAAAGGGCTGAGGATGTGGTTCAGTGGTTTAGTGCCCCTGAGTTCAATCCCCAGTACTAAAAAAAAAAAAGTTCCTGTCAACATGACACATCTAAGCTTAATAAAACTAGACCCAGTGACTGATTGCTAACCCATTCCCAAGAAGGGCCAGACAGGAAAATTATATATTATCATGTTAATACAGGTTGATATAGAGTGTATATGAAACACAAAATTGAATTTTGTGTTTCATATACACTCTGTATCAACTTATCCCCAGATAGGATCTCATTATGTATATGCAAATACTCCAGGATAAAAAATCTGAAAACACCATCCCCTAAGCATTTCAGAAAAGAGCATACTCAACCTGTAATAGGTGTTGGCCACTCACAAAACATGGCATAATATGTCTTAAGCTACCTAACAGGAATGATTCACTTAAAAGCTGTATATATTTAGTTTTCTTTTT